GCCGCACCTACTGGTGAACAGACGCTGCAGACTTCAGTGAGCCCTTAAACCGAATAAGTCAGAGTGGCCCCACCGAAGCTCCCTCTCTTTCTGCCGTGACCCAAGGCTCCACTCGGATTGGTTACCGCATCTCGCACATGGGTTGCTCACGTTGCCCAGAGTGCGCGAACGAGGACGCAAGAGTCGGGATTGAGTATAGCCATGCAACTGTAACTGCATACCCAGCGCAATGACTATACCCTATTGCACTCCATACATAAAAAATATAAAAAAATAAACAAAAAATATTCCTCCTTTTTTGGATTTCGGTTAAAAATTCGATGGGAAACGGCTGAGTTGTATTTCGGAAACCAAAATTTAATGCAAATCTCTTATATTCACACTTGTATATACATATGTACATACATACATATGTTTTTAGCTAACAAGTTATTCTTTTTAAATTGTTCCATTACAGCTGAAAATATTCATTTGGACGATTTGTACACACGATATCGCCAACGCCTACGCAAGTCACTTTTTAGATCCGGCCTACTGATATCACTAGTTGCATGTGTGGTCTCCATAATTGTTGGTGTAATTTACGAACAAGTAAGTTTCACACGCATGACGTAGTGTTGATTCCTATTACCTATTTTACACTAAGTAGAGTGTTCCAAAATATCAATGGTCTGGCTTTTAACGCATATATTTCTATTTTATTTATTTTATTTATTTTACGCGTATATACATAAGAAAATGCTTAAGCTGCAAAAGATACGCGCATGGGCCACAGCCTATTATAAACAGCTTATTTTAATTTTATCGACAACTAACTACATATTTCATAAGGGCACATGCAATTTGACGCTTAGTCTCCTATACAAGCGTAGATACGTATGTATGTGTATGCGTCAAAGTGCGCACGCTGAAAAGTTGTATCGCGAAAAAAGACGCAAGAAAGAAACTTCGGCGAACTTAGGTGGGTAGTTGAAGGCGTAGAAAGACACGCGATAAAAGTAGGCGCGCGTGGAGCGTAGTGAGCGAATATTCAAACAAATTTTCATGAAATTTAAAAAAAGATAAGATAATTGAAATGACGCCAACGCTCATACGGTAAACCTCGAACATCGTGTCTCCCTTCGCCATCAACTATGTTATCGGTGTAGAAATATAACATATCATTATTATATATTTTGGCCTATGGAGAGTGTCATATTTGCAAAAACAAAATTTCCCTTATATTATGGGACACCCTAATGGATGTAGGTACATACATATATATCGTTACCTTAATACAGAAAGACCCTAACTCATTTTTTGGGAAATTCAGCTATGTACAAAGGTCGGTAGATTACCCATGAAAGACCTAATAGAATTTGAAAACAAGTACTACATCAATAAATTAGTTTCGGCATTTATTAAAATCCGGGATTCCCAACTTAAAAACTTTAGTTTTTATAAAGTTTTGTAAATACTCTGTAACGCCACACATATTTTAGATATGAGCTTTCTCTATTAAGGTAACGATATGTATCTACGCAGCATGTTTTATGTACATACATAAATATGTATGTAAGTATGTAAAGTACTTGTAGATAGACACAATGTGTCGCTGGTTTAACAATTACATACATTATTTCGCAATCACTATGCTCATTTATAGCTTTTTTTTTTAGGGTTTGCTTCAAACGTGCCTCTTGGCGCTAGCTGCCATCATATCTGCGGGTATATTGACAGCACTGCAATTCCCGGCGGTGCTTAGCTCGCCAGTAGCCGCGTTGGCGTTTGCCATTGTAACCACTTTCTCGCTGGGGACGATAGCAGCAATTACGGGTGAAAAATTGGCGCCATTACCGTTATTTGCCGTTTTCTTAGTAAGTATTACATATAGAGACTAGATAGGAATTTAATTTCGCTGCTCTGTAGGCAATGCATTCTGTACTGTATGTAGCAGTTGTGCAGTTCAACAGAGCGTATACGTGATTTCAGTACGAGTTAGATTAGGAACGCAGCATGCGTGAATGCCTCTGTACATACATATGTACATATCTACCAGGGATGTTGCGAATATTTGCATTCGCATCATTTTACACATTCGCATTTGACATTCGCATTCGCATCAAATGATACGAATGTTTTGCGAATGCGAATGTGTACATGGGCAAAGAGTCCACTCTAATATTGTTGAAATGGGTCTAAGTCTGCCTAACCAGGGTGCGGACAATAACCGATTTTTAGCTTCAGGCGCTAAACGGTTAAGTAGTATATCTAGCAACATTGATGGGCCTTCAACAAGTACTGCTAAAAGTCTTATAAGCAATCTAGAAATAATTTTAGATTCCTCCAGTGAAAGCGAACGCTCGGATGTAGAATCTGGAGACATTAAAAAATGTAGAATTAAAGCTCAAAAGAAGGTTTGTCTTAAAGAAAAACGAGCTCATCTCGGTGAAAATCCTCTCGATTGGTGGAAAACTAAACTAAAATACGACAAATTGTCAGATCTGACCCGCAAATATTTGAGCGCTCCACCCGCCAGCGTTCCAAGTGAGAAATAGAAATCGCCTCATGGGAGAAAAGGCAGAAAAATTACTTTTTTGAAATATAATATGCCCCCTTTGAACTTTGACTACTACATTAAAACACTGTATAGGTTAAGCACTCGTTCAATATCTTAATAATTTACAAAATTTTTAAGTAACGACGATTATAGCGTTTTTAATGTTATTCCCATCATTCGCATTCGCATTCGCAAATGTGAAAAATATGACATTCGAAACATCCCTGGTACATACATATATATCGTCACCTGAAATGCAAAAAGACGTAACAAGCAACTATACTTAGTTATGAAGTGCCATATTGAGGATAAAAAAGTGCCAAATAGAAAACTAAAAGTGCCATTTTTTTTATTCTTTCCATTTAGAATTCAAATTAGAATCACATTCCTAAAACCAATGCCAAAGTAAGATAAACCAGTTTTATACACTATAGAAACTATAAAATTTTAGTTGAGAAAAAGAAGTACACACAAAGGATTTCACAAAAGTGTATTGAAATATTTCTATTTTTCAAGAGTGCCATATTGGTACTTTGTCCCAAATTGAAAAATTAAGTGCCATTTGAAGTCAAATAGGGCCAAAAATGGCACGGTTTGAGCCCAGTTGGTAGCCCTGGTAACAACAACGCAATTGAAATGGAAAAAGTCCTAACTAATATTTTTTATTTTTTTATTTATAAAATGATGATTACAACTGTAATTCGATGAAATCCAACATATCAATCAAAAACTGAATTTTTTTTATTAGTTACGACCTTTTGTATTTCAGCGACGATGTTTGTTACGCCTTTTTGCATTTCATTTGACGATATGTATGTATGTACATATATGAGTAGGCCGTCGGATGTAATTGCCGTCACAACTGCTATCTTTACAGGCTTTGAAGTTTACTAAGTTGGACTGATGCTGGTAGCCAGCATTTTCTTCGCCTACATACATATATAACTTTGTATTAAGCGTATCGACGGTTTTTTATTTAAGTTTCGCAATAGATTTAAAGTTAATGGCGGAAGTATTTCAGTTCTTTAATATGTACTATATTTAAAAAATAATACGCACCGTACGAAGAAACGTAAATTTGTTAGTTTACTATATAGTTATTACTTATATTTTCTTTTAACTACACACTTACATACATACGCCAGTAAAAAAATTATATGTGCAATACTTCAACTTCAACTAGTTAAATGAAAACGCAATACTAGATCTTTAATGCTTTTTCCCAATAATTGTATTCATTTACTCGATCAAAAGAATAGAAAAAACTTTATGAATATGCATTAGTTTATAACAAGATAATTTAATTGTACCATTATGTTGAAATTTTCGTAGAAAATATTTATATGTGCAAAGAAACAAGTGTCCCTTTCGCCAAGGACAGCTTTGCCATGGAAGTCGAATGACTCTCCAAGTTGTGGTGGGCATCTGGATCAACTATATTGGAGTTTCTCTCATCATTCAAAATAGCGTTTTCCAATTCTTCCTACAAAATTTGTAATTTTTGTAAAATGCTAAAAACGCATTCTCATGCCATAGAGTGGGCTGTACTGTTTTGCGATCTATTTCTTCAACTTAAGTACCAAAACTGTATTTATTATTTATTGTGAACTTTTACTTGTGACAGAGAGAATCAAATACATTTAAATTTTTACGGTAAATCATGCTGATGCTGGTAGCTAACTATTGGATATGTCATTTGCACCACTCTTATGTAGGGGCTTATGTAGGGCCACCAAGCTTATTATTTCTATAGTCGTCGGGATTTTTAAATGAACTTCTTATTAAGTATATTCTGCTGCCCGATTACTTCAGCAGTTATTTAGCTAGATTTCATGCCACAAAACTTCATTCCTGTTATATGTCCGGGCTGTTCTTCAGATAGTTTTTATTATGAACAAGTAAGAAAGTCTAAGTTCGGGCGGAGCCGAACATTAAATACCCGGCGCAAGTATTAAATATATGTTTTTTCACCCTTCCGAAACCTTCCGCTAGATGGTAAGCCGAGGTGTATCAATTTTGAGTAAATTAGCGTCCTTCAATTTCGAAATA